CTGCATGTGAGCGTGTGCATGAGAGCACAGTTTCCCTCAGAGGACAGGGTGTTGGATACCAGGAACCGGGAGTTACTCCCAGTTGAGAACTCCTGACATGGGTGTTGGGAACCAAACACAGGTCCACTGAAGAACAGAAACCGCTTCTACCTGCTGAGCCATCTCTCCAGCCCTGACCTTAGAAATTTACGTAATCATTAACCATTAGACCTTAAGTCTCATCATCCACAGACCTTTACAAATCACTCCGGCTCTCTACATCTTGGCTTTAAGTTTTAGAAAACAATTTGTCTTCATCCTTTTACTTTTATTTTCAGCACAAAATCTTATTACATTGTAAGGAATCATCCTAATTTTAGATACATTTGGAGTTGAATTTTGAGCAGGGTGCTTGATATGGGCCTGCTTCCTTCTACCTGTGGACAGCCAGCTTCCCAGCACCGTGTGTTGCAGAAGCTGTCTCTCCTCCAGGGTGCGGTTTTGGCTGAGTATCAGACAGACTGCTGTGTGAGTCTTCTGTCTTGTCCCACTGGCCTGTGTGTTGACTCTTGTGCCATTGTCATCCTGGTTTTGCTACGGCAGCTCTGTAATATATCTCGAGGTTCGCACCTGTAACCCCTCCTTCACTGTTCTTTTTCCTGAGGATTCCCTTGGGTGCCTGGTGTCTTTGGGCTTCCACATGAGTTAAGGATTTCTGTTTCTGTGAGGAATGCCATCTGTGAATTGCTTCAGGTGAAATAGTCCCTTTCACAATACGAATTCTAGCAATGTGTAAGCTAGCGTGTTCCTCCATCGTTTTCTTCAGTGATTTAAATTTGCCATTGCAAATTATTCTTGATTAATTTAAGAACACTATGACCACATTCCCAAGAGGTGGGGTGGGTGGTTTTTGGTCCCTCATTGGGTTATGGATATGTGTCATTGTTTAGGGTGATTGGTTACAAACTGTTATTGCTTATGATCAGGAAGAAAATTGAACAAAGGGGATTCAAGATTTTGTTTTGAAAAAAAAGGAATTTTTCTGGTTCTATTTTATTTGGATAATTTAAGGAGTATTGATTATAATTCTTCTTTGGAGTTATGAAAGAATTTTTCTGTGAGTCCATCAGGTCCCGGGCTTTTTTTTTTAAGTCAGAAGGCTGTCTGTCACTGTTTCTATCTCCTCATTGACAGAAAATGAGTCATGACTGTTCCTAGGAATGGTTGAGAAGAAGGGCTTCATTGTAGACTAAAGGAAGAGTACAGCTAGGGGCATCTGGAAAGGTCCAGACTGAACTTGGGCCGTTAGAGGTGGTGTGTGTGTGTGGGGGGGATGGGTTGGGTGGGAGAGAGATGAAGAGGAGACAGAGGAGGAGACAGAGCAAGCAGACCAAGGTGGAGGATAAGGTGCCAAGAGAAGAACCGGGAGCCAAGAGAGGGATAAACCAAGGAAGTGCTCAGCTGAGTTATGTAGAATCAGAAGTTGGGGAAGGAAAGCCCAGTCCCTGGTTGGAGAGGTTTAGTGGAGGGGTGGGGTGAGAAGTGCTGGGAGGAGCCTGAGTACTGAGTGAGACTTGTTTCTTTGAGCACTAACACTTATCTCTTATAGGTCTGTTAAAATTGCGTTGGGGCTCAAATATGATATTTCGATATAGGCCTCAGCTCAATTCCAGGAGTTCGAATCTCCTATTGTTTTTCAGATGTTGTCTGGGCACTAGTTTGCGTAACAATAGACCTAGGCCCTGCACCCATCACGGGGGTGGGGGGGAGGTGGGGGGTGTGGGGGGGTGGGCAGTGAGACGTGCCTGAAGACTGTGAGACACGAGTTACCGGAAGTCTGAGGGTTTGCATTCTAGGTCCATCTCTAGGGTTAAAGGAAGTGTTTCCTAGTTAGTCCTATATACATGATAATAGATGTCTTCTCCTGAGTACCCCTGCTTTTAGAAAGCTATTTAAGAGGATGCTTGAATAAACCAGGGACTCCCACATGGACTGAGAGTCCTCCTAAAATGACAAGATGTCTCTGTGTCATTCTTAAAGGACATTGGATAGCTAGGACTTCCCTGATCCACACTCCCCCCTCTCAGGGTCAAACCTGGGGCTGTTTTAACTGGTTCCAAACACAGCCCCGAAGACATCAGTCCAGCCCCCGAAGACATCAGTCCAGGATAGATGACACCTATAGCTCAGGACTGATACAGGCTGGACCCCAGTAAAGTTGTTGCTGTCTTCTTGGTTTAACTTTGGTGTTTCCAGTGACTCTAGAAATTTATGCATTTCTTTTAGGGTTTCTAATAATAGAATATAGGTTTGTAATAATATCCTCTTACACTGTTCTGAAATTCATTGGTGTCTGTTGTAATGTCTCCTGGTGCATCTCTGATTGTTCATTTGAATTTCTTCTAGCTTTATTTTGGTGTACTGGCCTAAGAGTCTATCAGTGTTGTCCATATTTTCAAAGAACCAGTTCTTAGTTTGGTTAATTCTTTGTATTATTTTCTTTGATTAATTTATGTTCTGATTTTTCTTATTTATCTACTGGATTTAGGATTGGATTTATTGGCTTGTTTTTCCAGTTCCTCGAGTTGTGTCATCAACTAATTTGTGTTCTTTCTGATTCTTTAATGTAGGTTCCAAGAGCTATAATTTCCCTCTTGAAACTGCTTTTAACACATCCCAGAACTTGTATTCCTTTAATTTTTGTAGGAAATTCTTTTTTCTTGTTTATAGTTTCTAAGGTTCTTGTGAAGTTTTAAATAATTAACATTTTTAAAAGATTTCTTTTTATTTTTTAATTGTGTGTTGTGTGGTGTGTGTGTGTGTGTGTGTGTGTGTGTGTGTCTGTCCGTGTAGGTATGTGCATGTAAGTGAGAGTGTATGCAGAAGCCAGAAGTGGGTATTAGGTCCTTTGGAGCTGGAGTTACAGGTTGTGAGCTGCCAGCCTGAGTTGGGTGCTGGGATATGAACTCTGGTCCTCTGTAAGAGTAGAAAGTCCTCTTAAGACTGAGTCATCTTTCCAGCCACCTCTTAAAAATGATTTATAAATGTATTTTTAGCATATATAAAAATCACATATTTTGGGGGTGTGAGTTTTGTATGTGCATGTATATTATGTTTAAATCAGGTTAAACATCTATCCTTAAACATTTATCACTTCTTCGTGATGGAAACACTGAACGTCCTTTCTTCTGGTTATTTGGGAAGATGTACTTCATTGTCATGGTGTGAAGTCATCTGCTGTGCAGCAGCACAATACAGCCTCCACTTAACTGCAGCTCAGGACCCACTGAGCTCCCTCTCTCCAGTCTTTCTCTCCAGTCTTTCTCAACTCGGAATACTCACCATTTCCACTGAACCCCCACCACCTTCTCCCCTCTCCTCTTCCTCTGTCTTAGAGACGGGATCTTGCTATGTAGCGTAGGCTACTCTCAGAGTCCTAGTGATTCTTCTGACTCAGGCTCTCAGTGCTGGGGTTATAGGCCTGTGTCTTTATGTTTGACCAAGAGCTTGTGGTCTTTACATATTTGTGCAGTAATCCTGTCAGAGGAATTGCTGGCAGGGATTTCCTTCCATTCTGCAGGAGAGCTCCCCTTGCTGTGTAGAAGGTTTTTCATTTGATGCACTCTCATTTGTCAAATCTTGCATTTATTTTCTGAACTACTGAACCCTAGTCCAGAAAAAGAAAATATCTATGCCTATATCTTAGAGCTCATCTTAGAGTGTTTCCTTCTAACAATTTCTAAATTTCAAGTCCTAATTAAAGCTTTTGATTCATTTTGAATTTGCTTGTTTGTTAGTTTTTCTAGGATTAGAGACAAGAATCTCATTTCTCATTATTTCTCTAGTTTCTACATGTGGATAGCTAGTTTTGTTCTTTTTTTCCCTTTTTGAAAATATAGTTAATAGTTTTTTTTTTTTTTTTTTTTTTGGTTTTTACGAGACAGGGTTTCTCTGTATTGTTCTGGAGGCTATCGGTCCAGCCCGGCCTCGAACTCACAGAGATCCACCTGCCTCTGCCTCCCGAGTGCTGGGATTAAAGGCATGCGCCACCACCGCCCGGCCTAGTTAATAGTTTTCTATGGCACACACGTATCATATTCTCTATCTGCTTATTAGTGGATGGCTTTTCAGATGACATCCACTTCTTGGTTACTGTAAAGTGCACACTCTTCAGCATACTAATATCATTTCTTGTGGATATATACCCAGTATTGACATTGCCAGATCACATGGTAGCTCTATTTTTGGTTTATTGTAGGAATACAAGATTGTTTTCCATAATGGTTGTGATAATTTACACTCTTATCTGTAGTAGCCAAGAGTTCTCTTCTGTCCATGTTCTCACCTGCCCAGATGCCTTTGTTCTGTTGCACAACAGCAATTCTTACTGGGAAAGGTGTGTCTCATTGTGGTTTTGCTTTACATCTTCCCAGTACTTAAGGATCCTGAATATTTCTCATCCATCTATAGGTGGTATGCGTGTGTGGCTCTGGGTTGCCCAGCTCAGCAGAGTTCTGTGTGCCATCCGGGAGCACAGGCTGCACTAATGTCTCAGGCTTGAGGGATCCTGTTTTGTTCTGGCTCAGCCACTAGGATCCACTCAGAGTCAGATCGAGCAGCTGATGGTGAAGTGTAAACAATGCCAGGAAGATAATGAACAGTGTCGCACTTTCACTGTCAAGAGCATCTTCAGCTGCACATCTGTGCCTCCAGGGAGAGACACAGTTGCACATCTGTGTTTCCAGGGATGCAGCACACCTGAGCCCCAGCAGGGAGCTGCTGGCACAGCTACTAGCCTAGGCCTGCCTTTTGCTTCCTTAGTCACTCTGAGATGAGGCCGGGATTATTTCGCCCTGCCCCTGACTCCCTGGCTCCTTCCTCCAGCACTCCCTGCACAGGAATGTCTGAAATTTGAGACTCTGTAGGCCAATAGTCCAATAGGAGAGCAGAATCAAGTCCCACCTCCTCCCTCCTAGCCTAGGACATTGTCATAAAGCTCAAACCAGCAAGGTCCAGGTCGGCCCGCTCTGCACCAGCACCATGCCTGTGACACTGGGTTACTGGGACATCCGTGGGGTGAGTGAGAGAGCTGCTGCTGGGTGTGACAGAGACAGAGCAGGAAGTAGCTAGGGCTGATCTCTTGGAGACAGATAGAGTTCAGAACTTGATGGAAAGCTTTGCCTATCAGGGGAAGTTCAACAGGAGAGCTTGTGCTTATGTGGTCTGGGTGTTGAGCTTGTGGGGAGACTGTAGGTGTAAGTTGGAGGCTCACCAAGAGGCGGCTAAGGAAGACTGTCAGTTTCCCCATCTGTGACCTGTCCTATGTCATCTTTACAGCTGGCTCATGCCATCCGCCTGCTCTTGGAGTACACAGACACAAGCTATGAGGAAAAGAAATACACCATGGGGGACGGTGATTATGTCCTGTTGGTCAGACCTGGGCTCCCCTGCTCATTGGTGCCCAGCAACACTTGTCTGTTGCTCAACTCTACAGGGCTGTTCCTTCTAGAAATTTCCTTGAATTTGGTCTTCCAGTGGAGGGCTGAGTTACCTCCTACAGGAATTGGATGATGTTTTCCTCTAGGGCTTGTTTTAGTATTTTGCAAACTTCAGTGATGGAGGGTCCATGCACTTACAAGCATTCTATACCCTTGGGTGTGCAAAAGTGGGTCAGGGTGCAGATCTCCTTCTTTGGGGGGGTCTCATGCTTGACTCCTTGGAAGGATTCCTAGAGAAGGAATCTGGGGCATTAGGGTGCTTTCTTTCATGTCATCTTGTCCACAGCTCCCAACTTTGACCGAAGCCAGTGGCTCAATGAGAAGTTCAAGCTGGGCCTGGACTTCCCCAATGTAGGTGCAGGGAAGGGGAGGTCTGGGGAGGGCGTGGCGTCCTCACCTCATCTCCTCACCTGGCTGAGGGGCTTTGGGATCAGAGCTTCAGCTCTCCTGCTCCCATCCTGGAGACTGCACAGTGTTTCTGTGATGGGCTGTGTCCAGCTCTTCCATTCGGGGTGCTCTGTGTTCATTTGTGGCTTCCCGCACTAGGCACACTGAGTGCCAGCCCCATGTGTGTCCTTTCTCAGGGAAGTGATGCTGAGACCCCATATTCCATCTGACCATCCCTGCTTGTCTTTCCAGCTGCCCTACTTAATTGATGGATCACACAAGATCACCCAGAGCAACGCCATCCTGCGCTACATCGCCCGCAAGCACGACCTGTGTGAGTGGGGCTGGCTGCAGGGAGGACAGAAGCCATCATCTTGGCTTTTTTGGGCTATGCTGAGAGTGACTCCATGCTGTGTGCGCTGCAGGTGGGGAGACAGAGGAGGAGAGGATTCAGCTGGACATTCTGGAGAACCAGGCTATGGACACCCGCATGCAGTTGGCCATGGTTTGCTACAGCCCTGACTTTGTGAGTCCCACCACCGCTGAGCTGGACCTCACCCTGTACTCTTGCCCCTAGAATCCACTAAGGCCCAGTTTGCTACTGGAGTCTCTTGGTGCTACTCATTGCACAGTGTTTGAAACTGAGACAGGGTAACCCTGGCACCCAGTATGCCAAATGGAAATTCCCAGTCATGGCTCCTAAGTCTTAAGATCCAGTCCAGACTTCACAGTGGAACTCCAGCCCTGATAGTATAGACAGAGTTCAGAATGCTCCAGTTCCAACTGCTGGTTCTGTCCCGAGCCGTGTCACCTGCAGTGTCTTAAAGCAATGCCACATCTGCCACACACACCCTCACACGTGAGGAGAAGAAACTGGGCTGGGGGACACTGTCCTCCCAAAAGGCTTCCCAGAGCTGTGTCCCTGACCCCACAGAGATAAGCAGGTGTTCCCAAAAGCAGTTCAGTTGCTGAAGGCCTTTGATCCTCTTCCTGCTTCCCTTGTGCTCTCAAATTCATCTCATCTCTTTGGAAACTGTACCAAAGTCCTCAGCCTCACCCCCAGAAGGTAGAACACTGTTCTCTGGGTGTTTGCTTGTTTGCTGCTGCCTCATGTGAGTTCAGAGTTCACAGCCACGTGCCCACAGCTGTCTTGGGTCTGATGCACCACTGTTCAGACAACAGTGGGAGAGACCTGGGCTGTGGGAGTGGGAGCGTGGGCGGGGAGATCCCCACCCCTCCTCTGCCTGCTGGGGACTGCAGAGTCCTGTGAGGACAGCCTCTTCCAGGGTGCCTGTGTCTGAGGATGGTGACAGTTTTTTTTGTTTTGTTTTTTTTTTTTTTGTTTTTTTGCTTCAGGAGAAACGAAAGCCAGAATACTTGGAGGGTCTTCCCGAGAAGATGAAGCTGTACTCGGAGTTCCTGGGCAAGAGATCATGGTTTGCAGGGGACAAGGTAAAGGGCTGTTGGTGGGGAGGAGGAATTGCCATTCTTCCCAGGCATCGAATTCCAGCACACTCACCCTGGCTTCCTGCAGATCACCTATGTGGATTTCCTCATCTATGATGTCCTTGACCAGCACCGTATATTTGCGCCAAAGTGCCTGGATGCATTTCCAAACCTGAAGGACTTCTTGGCTCGCTTTGAGGTGATGCCCTGAACCTGCTTCCTACTGGATGTCCTATTTCCCTTCCCCCTTTCCAGAATGCCTTTTGTCTTAGTTAGGGTTTCTAATGCTTTGAAGAGACACCATGACCATGGCAACTCCTGTAAGGAAAACATTTAATTGAGGGCTTATAGTTTTTAGAGTTCAATCCATTATCATCATGGGGGGGCATGGCGGCTGGGAGTGTGGCAGCATTCAGGCAGACACAGTGCTGGAGAAGTAAGTTGAGAATTCTACTTGTGAAGGCAAATGGAAGTGATCTGACACACTGGGCAGTGTTTTGAGCAAAGGAAACCTCAGAGCCCACCTCCACAGTGATTCACTGCCTCCAACAACACCACATCTACTCCAACAAGGCCACGCCTCTTAATAGTGCCACTCCCTTTTGGGGCCATTTTTTTTTTTTCAAACCACCACATTTCACTCCCTGGCCTCCAAAGGCTAGTAGTCATATCATAATGCACAAATGCATTCAGTCCAACTTCAAAAGTCTCCATAGTCTATCACAGTCTCAAACTTACTTAAAGGTTTAAATTTCAAAGTCTCTTCTGAGATTCATACAATCTCTTAACTGTAATCACCTGTAAAAATCAAAATCAGAAAGTAAACCACAGGATATATATTACCATTCCAAAACACCGGGAAGGGACATAGTCAGGAAATACGGGATCAAACCTGAAAGCCAGCTGGGCAGACTCCAAACTCTGCATCTGCATGTCTGATGACAAAGCGCCCTTCAGATCTCCAACAATACTAAACCTCCTAATAGGGCCACTCCCTTTGGAGGGCATTTTCTTTCAAACCAGCATACCTTTCTACTTGGAATGGAAATGAGGAATAATTAGCATTTGTTGAACAGGGAACTGTGTTCAGTTCTTAGATCTATTGCATGAAATTTATCATCACAACCTTCATGTTACATAGAAATATCAATGCCATTGGACTGTTAAGGAAGCTGACTGTAGAGATCGTCAGTTTCTCAGGGAACCAGCACCATTGGAGGAGGTTGTGTTTGTTTCCATGTGTGCTTCTAGCTTCCAAGAATAGAGGACAGAGGATCTCACTGATGCCAAAGAATAAAAGCCATGGTTTGCCATGGAGCCTGGATTTTCCATCCCTGAGGCGTATCAGGATGTGTCAGGAGTGTGTAGCAAGTGCTGTTCAGAGGGGGAATTCTGGCAGGACTGATACACAGTGACAAGATGCAGTGTGCATATTTGGCCTGTCCAATTCTTTGCTCAGTCATGTCCCTGACTGGGGAAGCACTGAGACCCAGGGCTACAGCTGGTGCTGGGCTGAGTGGACAGGTCAGTGCTGTTGGGGGAGGTAATCCTGACTTGTTCAATGTTTAGGTATCCTGTTTCCTTCCTTTCATCTTCCTCCTCAGCAATAGCTTGATGTTGAGATGGGGTTTTGTTTCATTCACCTTCTCTGGTGTCTCTGTTTGTGGTACAGTTTTCAGCTCAGAAGGACTTGGAAAGCTGCATCTCCATTCAGGGATGCAGAGTGGCAGGCATGCCTGACTATGAGGTACATGTGATGCCACAAAACCTACTTTATTAGAGATTTGGGGGATCGAGCCAGTATCCAGTGGGAATCTTAGCATGGGATCTTCTGTTCTGCCCTCAACAGGCGATGTGCTTTGCTAGGTTCATCAGCTCGGATTCTGGTCCAGGCTGCTCAGCTCTGGAGATGCGTACGAGCTGACCCACAGCATAGTGGCAGAGTGTGGGAGGCTTCAGTTCAAGGCCAGCTAAGCCTGCCCATATGAGTCCAGGCAGCCCCAGAACTCTGAGTTCTTTACAGCTCATCTAGGCATCTACGGGGAAGACGGCACACAGCAGCGTCATTGTGGAGCCCTTCTCTAGCAGGGCTGGGGACAATAGGATGAATATAATGAGTATGGATTCAGCTGCCGGGTTTTAACGTTTAGATCTTCCTGCTTCAAGAGAATGGCAAAGATCACTCCCTTATCTCCTTGCTGGTTCAACTATTCCTCTCCTCCTTAAGTCAGAATTTGCTGAGGTACTGGGTGAGAGCTTTGCTGTCTTCAAAGTACACTGGCATATTACTGGTGCCTTTGCCCTTCTCAGCCCCTCCTCCATGTGGAATAACAGGCAGGAGGGAGTCTGCTAGGAGAAAAAAAGCGAGTGTTTGTGTGAACAGAGTGACAAGGGATTTCTTGCTTGGTGAGTGAGCCAAAAGAGCCGGAATGGAAGATGCAGGGATCCTCCCGTATAGACGGGGTATAGACTGTAGTCGTTCTAGTGGTGTGAGTAGGAGGGGCACATTTAGTCTCTGGGTGTGTCGGCCTCCCTCCTGTTGAACGCAGAGCGCAACACTGTTCTGCAGGATGTTGTGGAGCGATCCATAGATACAAGTACTGCAACTGCAGATGGGACACACGGCTGAAGGCAGGGTTTCTCCTTCATTCTCTTACAGCCTTGGGCACCCGAGCAGCTCATGCTGTGTTCGGGTTCTTAGAGTGAAACCTGTGCACCCCGTGGGGCCACAGATCCTGAATTCCTGCTCTCTCCTCCCCCTTGCAGGGCCTGAAGAAGATATCTGACTACATGAAAAGCAGCCGCTTTAGCTGCAAACAAATCTTTGCAAAGATGGCCGTTTGGAACTCAAAATAGGACTTCGAAGCCCAGACCTGGGTGAATACTCCTGATCACCATGATGGCTCCGGCCCTTAGGCATGGTTCTGTGACCCCACCAAACGTTGATTTCTTCTTCTTTCAGCTCCCCACTCCTCTATTTCTTCTCACAAGCCCTTCCTTCAGTCAAGCCTCTGGATCCTACTCCTGTTCCTTTGCCCTGCCCTGAGTCCTGCCATCCCTCAGTGCTGTTTGGAGGAAGGCGCCAGACTCCAGAATCCAGCGAGGCCCGAGAGATCAGATCTGCCTGTGTGCTGGCTCTGGTCCCCAGAGTGAGCAACGGGGCCCTGTTTGATCTCCAGTAAAGTCTGAATGACATTTTTCCTGTGTCTTGTTTTGCTGCTGTGACTCTCCGTGTTGGCTTTTTGGGTGGTCTCTGTTTTGTTGCCTGAAGGAGGGGCTGGAGAAAGAATTTTAGGGACTCTGGGGTTACTTAAAGTCCTTGATGTCCCTGTGTCCTCAATCAGGTATTCCCCTGGAAGAGATCTCCTTCATTTCCCAACTATTCTTCAGAGTGCAGTGCCTCAGTTGTCCGTGTGTAGTTTGACTCATGTTTCAGAGACATCCTGTGCCGAAGGGAAGTGTTGAGCAGGCTGGCCTTGGCTGGTCCATCTTCTCATCAGCTTTTCTGCGCTGCACACACCACCCTTGTTTGTGTTGCCAACATCTCTCTTCATAAACATTCCCCACTGTCTGCAGTTGATGTAGGGTCTTTCCCTCAACTCAAGCTGAAGTGGACTGAAAGATCGATCCCTTTCTCCCTCTCCCTCATCTCTTTTTCAGTTTTATTTTTCAAGACTTAATTTAATTTTATTTATATGTGTGTGAGTTTTTGCCAGCATGTGTGTATGAGCACCATATGGGTACCCAATGCCAGCAGATGCCAGAAGACGGCATCAGACTCCTGGACATGTGGTGCTGGGAACAGACCACTCTAAGAGCAGTGGACTCTTAACCTCTGACCCTTGTCTCCAGCCTCTGGTTGTTGTTGGTTTCAATCCAGGATCTCATGTCACCCACACTGGCAGGGTCCTCACTCACTAAGTGGCTGTGATGGCCCTTGACCTCATAATCCTCCTTTTTCTATCTCCCGAATACTGGGATTACAGGTGTGTACCACAGGCTGGCTTTGGATTGTTTACCTTTGGTATGCATGGCTAGGCTTGGCACATGGTTGCTGAATGGAAAATTTGGAATATTAATGGATCATCTCCAGAGAAGTTTGGCCAGTCCATATAACCAGTGGCAGGGCTTAGACCTCTGGAAGAAACATCCTGTTTCTTTTTTATTTAAAAGCAAATCTTCTCTCATTTTACATACCAGTTTCCACTCTCTCCCCTCCTCCTGCTATCCCCTCCTCCCCCCACCATATCTCCCATCCACTCAACAATGAGGGTAAGGCTTCCCATGGGGAGTCAACTAACTCTGGCACCTTACTTTGAGTTAGGGTCAACCCCCCTCCCCCTATATCTAGGCTGAGCAAGGTAACCCTCTAAAGAGAATGGGCTCCAAAAAGTCAGTTCAAGCACTAGGGATAAATCCTGGTCCCACTAGAAAGAAACATCTTATCCCGAGGCATTACAGTAACTTGTCCCTGCAATGGTGCTGGAGTCAGAGCCAAGAGGCTCTTGCAGCTCATCAGGCTCAGTAAGAGGCTGTGCTGCCTGTGGAAGAGCCTGGCTGGGGATAGGCCAGCCTGGTGTGCTGGGCCCCAGTGCCACATCATATGCTCAAAAAGCTGTGGGCATTTTGCACCAAGTCACCCATGAAGGACTTGGGCACATTGCAGAAGCACGCACTGAGCGGGTTCCTCTGCCAGTGGCTGGATCATAGATTCTGGCCTTTGTCAGGCAGAGCCTGTGACCTCCCTGTACCAGGCAGCATCTCTGGATGAGAGCCCTGAGGGGGTATTGCCAGCAAGCACAGGCTTGCAGGAAGAAATGAGGAATTAAAAGATAAAGGTTATTAGATAAAAATTGGTAGAAGTGAAATGTTCATGAAACTGGTAAGTTCACATTATTTCAGTCAATCTTTGTTAAATTTTAACTAGAAGACAAAGAAGATAAACTAGAAAGGATGTAATGAGATCAGGAGAGGCACTGATAATGATCAGTAGGGAGAATAAAATTACTACACTGCACTAAAGTGGCCATGGACGTAGAACAGAGGTTGGCAAATGTTCACCACATGGGCCAGTACTTAAGTTTTGCAGGCCATATACTCCATGGTAACACATGGAACTCTGGGGTATGGAGTCTATACAAATTAAAAGAAGTCCAAATCACTCCATATGTAAAGAGGAAGACGTGGCAGACAAAGAGAAGTGTAAATGAAAACAATTTTCTGAATAGTAAGATCAAAATTAGGAAATTAAAACTTCAGGTAAAAGTACTGTAAGGTATGGCCTTTAAACTCACCAAAAAAGGCCGATGACTTTCTGGACAATGGGGGCAAAAGTCTTTATTCTCAGCACTCGGGAGGCAGAGGCATGTGGATCTGTGAGTCTAAAGCCAGGCTGGTCTACAAAGTAAGTTCCAGGATAGCCAGAGCTGTTACACAGAGACACCCTGTCTTGGAACAAGCAAACAAACAAAAGTGTTGATGACTTGAGTGGCCAGAATTAACCAGAAATCCAGGCACTTTAGATTGTCTGTAGCATCGGGACTGGGTACTATATCTGTTCAGTGTCTGTAGCTCATCCAGTAAAGACTGGCACTCCTTGGAGTTGGGCTGCCATCACACACCGTTCTTACACAGCATGGCTAATGTTCCTCACTCCTATTGTGTTAGTGAGAAGGGATCAGCTGAAACAGACCCCACCAGCAAAAAAAAAAAAAAAAAAAAAAAAAAAAAGAGTTCGAGTTCGTTTTCCATGTGTAAGTTACATGGGAGACATCCAGGAAGCTGAGTGGCCAGCTCCATGGCATCATTCAGTTACCAACTTCTTTGTGACTGTGGCCCTGCTACCTCACAGGGTGTTTGTTGTGAGTATTGAGAATTGGAAAGAAAGAGACAGAGGGAGCCCCAAGCCCAGGTGGCAAGTTCCTACTATGGAGATGAAGCAGTAAGCCATCCATCATGTGCAGACACTCACCACTGCCAAAACTGAGTATGTGGTTAGAGTTAGGTACGAGATCACCTAGATTAGTGTCATTTTTGTTAGACCACCCACAAACATCATGTCTCTACATGAAACTAGCCTAGGCTGTAAGTTGGGGGATAGTGGCCACCCTCCTGAACTTAGTTGGGGTGAAGTACTGAGGGTGTCACCGAGGGTGTCATGTACATGAGCAGAAGAGAAGGTTCATTTGGACGTTGGGAAGCCAGCTACAGCGACTCAGACTCAGGTGACCAGACCTGATACTTAGCCCTTCTCAATCACCAGGGCCCTGAACTGGGGTGAACCAGGTTGGATCGGGGCCAGGACTCTTGGGTTCCCATGAACCCAGGTCCTGTTTCCATTTTGAATTCTTATAGGTGCTTATAGTCTAGGTCGCTCTCCACGTTGGTGCCACTGTCCTTCAAAACCCCAACTGTAGCAAGCGAGCACTGTTATCAGGACCCGCCAATCTCAAGACAGTGTCTATTCTTCCAGAGTGGTCCTCCAGTCCCCAGAGAGTAAAGTCTGTCCTGAACCCTCTCTACCCCTGAGCCAAGGGCTCAGGTCCAGATGATTCACAGTGTCACAATGTCTGTGCATTTCTGACTCAACCGATGGAAACAAGAATCTCAGGATGGACTGTCACGGAACCCTGGGTTACGAACTCTATATAAGAGTTTCTGAACCCTGTGTGCATGTTTCTTGGTCAGCAAATTATCCTAAGAGGCAGTTCTGAAACATTATTTGCCTGGCAGTCTAGTAATGCCTATCTCATGGTGGAGAGGACCACTGTTCCTCTCCTTCCATCGTTTAAGCCTCAGTTACTCCTGAATTTTATAGAAATCTTCACAAATGCTTATTTCATTCTTTTGAAATCTTACTGGGTAAAGCTCTGGTGCCTGAGGAACAATCAGTTCTAATCTGTCCATGGCTGAATGCAGTCAGGTGTTCACAGCCTCCTGAGTCCTACCCACAGAACAGAGTTTGCATCAGTGGGAACACACTCAGGGACAATGCGTTGGTGATATTGTTCTTGCTTTTTTTTCCCCTGTCTTCAGATTTTAAAATTAAACTAAATGGCTTTTAAATGTGTGGTTCTTTGTTTCTCTGTGTGAGGGCATACACACATGTGCACACATGCATGCAGGGTGCCCTCAGTGACCAGATCCTCTGGAGCTGGAGTTACAGGTGATTAAGTCATCCCATGGGGGCAACGGGAACCAAACTCTTGTCCTTGGCAAGGACGGTGAGTGTCTTAACCGCTGAGCCTCTTTTTCAGCAATGCTCTTGTTGAGACTCAGTATCACAGTGTATTCCACGTGATCTTATCTAAAGGGGCCAGAGAAAAGCACCAAGTCACATCAGAATAGCAGCTGACTCTTTAGCTGGGACTTTAAAGTGTGTGTGTGTGGAGGGGTCTGAACAGATGTGCTACAAGCTCTGACACTTGGCAAGTGAGTGCTGGCATTACAGATGTGCATCACCATGACAGGCTGACAGAGCTGCATTCCTGTCTGACTTTCCATCACTTGTGTAGACACCAGCTTCACCAGCAGTCCACTCAATGCTTATGTGCTAACTTGCAGCTTCTACTGTGGGGCCTTTGGGAATTGACTGGAACCTGAATCTGTGACCCATCAATGAAATAGTATAGTTGAGGGATTAATAAAAGGCTATTGAGAGGCAGTGGAAAACGGAGGGGGTGTAGTGGGAGGAGTAGGTATCAGATGTGGGTAAGCCTGAGGGTACATTACAACCTTTCTCTTTGCTCTCCCCTGCTTCCTGGCACCATGTGGTGAGCAGCTTGTCTCCGACACCCACTTGTTACTGTATGTTCTTCCCCATGGTGAAGCCAAGAGATCGTGGACTGAAACCTCTGAGACCGTGAGACACAGTAAATATTTTCTTCTTTAGGCTGATTTTCTCTGCTACTTTGTCTCAGTAGCAGACACCTGACTAACAAGGACATTCCTGTGTAGCAGTGATTCTCTGTGAATGGGACATACTCTCCTTCATTGTCCTCTGTATGAAGCATGGTGTCAGGCTCAGTGGGACAGGGAAAGATGTCCTTATCCTGGGACTGAGGGTATCAGAGGGAGAGACAAAGTGACAGAGACAGAGTGACAGGACATCTCAGACTCTGATGTACATCTGGTACCTACTGGGTGCTGGAGCCTAGCCTGGCTGTCACTCACAGACAACCTCTAAGAATCTACTT